AGAGTTAAGCAAGCAGCTTGAGGAATCTATTATTGATTTATTCATGACGGTGTTAACTTGTTCTGTTTTCTTTGACTGTTCCGTAAATTCTGGATGCTGCTCCCAGTCTTGGCCAGAATTTTCTTGTAAAATAATTTTTAACCTCAGTGGTATTTTTTTTCTGGCTAAATAATTGTTAATATTAATGCAAATAATAAAAATGATAAATATTGCAAACTGACACCTGGGGATGCAATCTGTTGTTCACCATGGAAAGCAAAACAAACAAACAAAAACAGACAAAACAACACCAACAAAAATTCTAAAACCCCAAACTTTATTAATCATAAGAAAATAAAATGATAACAAAGATTAGATCATAAATCATTTTTAAATGTAAATAAACAACCATATTGGAATAAAACAGTTGTGTTATTAATTCTTCAAGTACTTCAAAGTCTCATGTCTATGCTATTATTTTGAAGTGCTTCCTTTTATTCTGAAAGAGGTTTAGGTTTGTTCCGTTAATTTTCTTCTTCTTGACGTTCATCAGTTGATCTGTTTTCTATTTACAGTTGAGACCAGTGTTGCAGTTATTGTTGATGTAAGTAGTGGTATTAGTCATGTGACATGAATAGGTGGACGTTAATTATCACTTCTGATAGCGTTTCTTAGCTACTATTGTGTTTCTGTAATTTTTGAATGTCTGTTTTACTCTTAATGGTTGTGATTTAGTATTGAAACTATATTTTTAACTGTCTTGAGATTTGGGCAGTTAGAGGTAGATTGATTCCAGGTACTATTCTGCATCCTTCAAATTTAAACAGCACTTTACAAAGGAAATTTATATTATCACAATAGTCATTCGGAACTTTTATTTATTATTTCTGTGTTTTCAGAAACTGCCTCAATTTATTTGCACCGTTGACATGATTCTTCAGTAAACCTATTTAAACACCTGCGTGCTTTCTGACCGAAGCCCTGTAGTGGCCAGTCAAGAAAATACAGCAACAGAGGTCAAAATCCTCAACAAATGGTCCTTTGAGCCGGATTTATTGACTGCTACAGAATATCATCAGAGGAAAATACAGCAACTCACCCTCATTCTGATGTATGAGAGCGACATGCAAGGCAGCACCGTACACCCAAGCACCTAGAGGAGTACATCCTTGCCTACAACCCTCACAACTGACAGAATACCAGATTGACTTTAAATTCAACCCACTGAGTTCTCCCCACTGCAGAGGGGATGTAGAGGGAATCTTAAATTCAAAGCCACTAGGCTATGTGTCAGCTGATGTAGCCGATTTGGACCCCATCACTCCAAACATCCTCTTGATGGGGCAGCAGGATGCCACACTGCCTCAAGTGACCTATGCACCAGCAAGTATAGGGCGACATCCATGGCAACACTGTCAGGCACTAGTGGATCAGTATTGGCTCCAAATTACAAAGAACTACTTGCCGAACCTCCAGACCCGTCAAAAGTGGCAAACATCATTGAAGAACATCACTGTGGACTCTGTCGTGCTAATCATTGACCCATCACTTTTGAGAGCTCAGTGGCCCTTTGGGAGAATTGTTAAGACTGTTACTAGTTCAGATGGATGTGTCAAATCAGCAGTAGTCAAGGTCAAAGACAAAGTCTACATGAGACCAGTTGCTCGACTCATCGAGCTTCCTGGACTTCAGGATGACATGAAAGAAACTTGAAGAATCTCTGAGTTTACACATTTACAAGTAAATGTTGGGGCGGCTGTTATTCAAGTACTTCAATGTCTCATGTCTATGCTTTTATTTTGAAGTGCTTCCTTATATTTTGAAGGCTTGTTCCGTTTATTTTCTTCTTTTTGACGTTCAGCAGTTGATCTGTTTTCTATTTACTGTTGAGATCAGTATCACAGTCATCAAGTGACATGAATAGGTGGATGTTAATTATCACTTCTGACAGTTTTTCTTAGCTGCTAGTGTGTTTCTATAGTTTTTGAATGTCTGTTGTACTCTTAATGGTTGTAGTGGTCAGTTAAGAAAATCCAGCAGAGGTCAAAATCCTCAACAATTTGCATGTGTAAATACTGAATATTATTACAAAAATAAAGCACCCTTTATGACAAAAGAAATGAAATGAACAAACAAAAATAAATGGCGATATTATGGTGAAATATGGCTATATTTCACCAGTGTAATTAACCATCCTTTTCCTCGCAATATTCTTTTTTTTCTTTAGAATGTTTCCAGCACTCTCCCTGAGCTCTATATTAAAAAAAGATAAATGACACTAAAAATCAGTCCAATTGGTCCAATTGGTGTAAGATGTACGTTACACTGTTACACTGTAGCGTACATGTTATATGATGTATACTACAGCATACCACTGTACACTTGTATGCTATAAATAGCAATAAACTATATTTCTTTACTAGTGAGAAGCAACAATAGGATTAACTCAAAATAACACTGGGCTAAATTCTCAGAAGAGGAAACCAATGAGGTTGGTAGAAAAACACAAGCTGTGATGAAAGCTCTTGACTGGCCGCTCAGGGCATGCTTTTACTCTGAAAATATTGATACGCAGGTTCAACAGTCCATTAAATGCACTGTGTGAACATCAGATAAGTGGGGTTTAACAATAATCGAAATGTACTCACAGGCTACAGTAGAAATCCCCTCCCCCACCACTTTACCCCACTGGATTTACAAAGACACAAGTGGGCTAATTACACAACAGCTTGACAGGAGGTTGTTCAAACAGATATTGCGTTGAATTATTTTAAAATGGGAACTGATAGGTTAAAAAACATGTAAATAGCTATGCCTTTTGCGTCCTTTATGACGCAAAGATTCAGGTAAACCTTAGATAATCTGAGAGTAGTGAGAGAAAAATGTCCTACAGCTACATCTAAAGGAGGGAATGTTAAACTGACCAAAGAGCTTTTACTGAATATCAACAGTGGAGGAAGTCCTATTGTGCAGCAAAATACGAGATAGGCATGTAGAAAGGCCCAGATACACACATTATTTGAATATGGAAATGTTTAGAGGTTTGGGAGACCATTTGTAAATTTGGACAAGAGGGTGAAAAATAGGCCTCAAACAGAAGAGGTTATAAGCAATGACAATTTGAAAATATCGCAAATAAACAAGAAAATAGACATGGAAATAAAAATGACAGGAACAAAGGAATGTTTAAACATGTATAGTCATGCAAAAAACATAGCAGTTCCAAATGTTTCGGATCTTTAGAGAACATTAATGAACAAACCAACAAACTCCAGAGAGGTCTAATGCAGAATTGGGCTATAATAAATAACCCAAGCTTTGAACATCTTAGTGAACTCTGATCAATCTGCCACTGCAACTAGACCATTAAAAGATAGCCTAGAGATGCAGAGTAACTGTAGCACCTTTGAATCCATCTATGTTAAATGTGAAAAGCCAACACCAAATAAAAGAAGTAACACCAGATTTCATCTTTCTATCAACAATGAAATCTTGACTTGTCTCCCTAAGCGATGTCAGTTCACTTGAGACATTAGTTTATCAACTCACATGTCATCTAGGGACATTCTTGTTTGTCAAGCAACAACAATCCAAACATTGAGTTGAATAGAGGGTATGGTAGTGACTCATGTGTCCTGATTGCCCTATTTGTGACCCTAAAGGCCCTCTTAATGCAATTTTTCAGACTACAACTTAAAACCTTGTTACTTCTGATTATGGTAAGAAGAGAAGAAGCCGTTTGGATGAAACATGAAACATCTCTTGAACTTCAAGAGATGTTCAATTGCCTTCTACTTATCCAGACAAGATTATCATGACTGACCTCAGATCTATACAAATGTGTTGTGTTTCATTGTGACTTTCCTTTTATAAAAGCTTAAAATTCCTTCATTTTTATTTACAGAGTAAGTGCTGAATGAAAAACAGTTTAAACTATTATGAATGATGGCCAGAATTAAAATTACAAATGCAGTAGATAGTACAGTGCTAAGAATATGGTAGTTTTAGTGTAACAAAACATAACTCGTTAGTGCTTCTACAGTTTAAAAAAAACTGTTTATGGTATAATGAATACAGCAAGTTTACAGAATTTGCTGTATTATTATTATTATTATTATTATTATTATTATTATTGGAGCTTTTTACTCAAGTGTGACCACTTGTAATGACAGTCTATCGTGAAGCAGTGCGTGGATCCACAGGCAGGTGGCGCTCTTGGTCTGTATTCCCACAGCAGCAGTAAATCGTTATTTCTAAAGGGCTTTTTCTCTCTCTCTCCTTCCTCGTGGGTTACAGACCGCTATTCTGGGATCCGGACAAGTGCGGCCTTATAAAAAGCAGCGTGAACGCAGCACAAAGAACATAGACTTCAAGGTGAAGGGAGCTGAATTGACCGCGGACACATTTGGATGTAGATTTGTGCCACACAAAGTCCACCGTAGTAAGTAAAACTGTGATAAACTTTTTGTTTTGCAACACACTACCGGCTTCTTTGGGAGACACCACGCTGTCGGTGAGATGAGATGAATAAATGCGTTGCGATCGTCTTTTTCTGCGCGCTTTTCTCGCTACAGTTTATTACAGGATTGTTAAAACAAGCAGTTCTGGGCTTGTTTTAGAGGATTTTAGTAGCCTGCTGCACAGATGCTTTTGCAAAGCGCGCATCCTTTTGTACCTTTCTTGTGTAGGATTTCTTCTTTTTTATTATTTTGTGATTTTTTTTTCTCTCTCCTTAACCCTTTAAAAAGTATGCAGAAAATTGGGTTGAGCCCCAGCTTGTGTGGTAAATACAGATATATTTTTAGTCATTCTGAGCATGCAAGAGGCTGGATGTGAGAAGCAAAACAAGTTGCCCATTTAAAAGTGGGGCCAGGATTCTGTGTCCTGCCAGCCGTGGTGGTTAGAACTAGAAATCCTGGCAGGATGGGGTAAAGGACTCACTCATTCCTTCATTTTGATTAAGCTGTATGAAGGTAAGCCCTCATCTGCTCCACTTACATCATAATAAAAAGCCTAATCCATGCCTTGCTACAACAACCTGCTGGCAGTTTGAGCTTGAGATGATCTGCATCTACACGGAAGAACTGGAAACCCTATTTGGCACCAGTTTGGGAGCATCGAAGTCATGTCTGAAGCGGGGTTTCACGTGTTGCTCACCACACTGCTGTCTGGAGCTCTGATGGTGGCAGTTTTAGCTCTTCTTTGCTACTTCACCTGCAGACTGGCAGGATCGCTGCCTCTGGGTGGACCTGGGCGCTTCTGAGGACTTGTGCTGCTGCTGCAGACACAACTGGCAAAGTGCAACTGAGGAATGGTAAAGAAAACAACCTGGCATCAGTGTTCGGTGCTGTTTATTTCCAACTTGCCTGTTTCTCATTAGACCTACTACTAGAGTCTGGCCCTGTTCCCAATTTAGGTTAGGTTTTGGAAGGTGCTGACAAGATTTTCTGTCCGGGTGTTTTGAAGTTTTATTAGAGGCAGCCATAAAGTGGGGAGGTTTAGTATGGTACCTAGCGGAGCAGAGACTGGTGAGAAATACAGTAATTACTCAGTAATCTAACCATTTAATGAAGAACTTGACTGTTAGTTATAAAGAGTCTGGCATTAAAGAGGATTGCGTGCAGGACAACAGGAACAGGAAGCTATAAACAGATTCAAGAGGTTTCTCATCAGACCTGGGCAAAATAATTTGTCTTGAAATAATTCATATCTAGAATCTTTTATTTTATTTTCCTGGCATAGACGTGACCTGTCAGTCATTTGCTGCTAATCGGCTTTGTTATGGCCCTTAAACCTCTCAGTGCTCTGCAGCTCAATCCCATTAAAATGACCTTGACCATAAGCACAAGGAAGAAAGGAGCAGGGTGTGGATAATTATAGTTGAAAGGCTGGCCGGCCAGGACCCCATAAGGGCCCCTGTTGTGGTCATAACCGCGTGCAGAGAGGCCTCAAGCTCAACTTTAGCTGTTCTGTTATTTCTCCCTTAGACCTTTTGGGGCTTTTAGGATCTACTTTTTGATAGATTTTTTTTGTTGCTGTTCTGCTTTCATGACTAGAAAACAGATGGTAATATTTAGCTTGAGCATGTTGCTTCTCCGTATTCCCTTAGAGTTAAAATGAAAATTTCACATACTCTGTTTTTATTTAACCTGTATTTAACCAGGTTAGTAATTAAGAACAGATTCTTATTTACTTGTGTTATTTACAAGAACCTGGGAGGTTGGGAGGGCAGGACACATAGGCAGATCAATCAGCATACATTTACAATAAACAAACATTAACAACACTCTTGAGGTAATACAAAAAGTAGATACTTTGACATATAAAGTATCTACTTTATATGTTCAACATGAAATATTTAAGCAGAAACAGGCAGGTTTCAGACAACACATTCATTGACATATTTTTTTAAAAATTCGATTGATAAAAAGATCATCAGCTTTAAGCTTTTTCTAGTTTTTTGCTGCAACATAATGGAAAGAAAGTTCTTCATATTTTGATTTAATTGAGCATGATGTGTTGGCTTGAGCTTGTGCTATAGGGAGTCATAGAAGCTTGTAACAAACTGTAAAAACAAACCTAATAGACATTTAAAAATAAACACATATTGATAGATCCTCCTTTAGTTTTGAAAGGATAACTGATTACTGGCACTAGTTCTAAAACACATCGATTGATTTAAATTGTTTTATCTTTTTAACTGATGGCAAATGTAAAACTTTAATAAAGAAAAAAAAATGGGTGCTCAAGTTTGAGTTTAGTTTGGATTTTTTTTTTGTGCACATAGAGTCAAAATATTCTTCATATAAACTCAAATGTACACACAAACCCTGATAGCCAAAAAACAACACAAAAACACTTTTTGTTGCCACCATTAAACCAGTCACTTTCAAGCAAAGTCCTCAAACGGCAGTGTTAATGTTGGGGCAACTTCAGAAGCATAATGTAAACCTGCTTTATTCAGTCCAAAACCAGTTTTGATTTGTATTTGGGATTACTATCAATCTTTGTTTGTTTAGGGCATTTACCTATTGATTTGAGGTGAAGTCAAGGAACTTGAAGATAGTTTTCCATTTATTGTTTTGTTTTGGTTGTTTCAGTAGCCTGCAGTGGTTCGTGAGCTATTTCTGAACATCCTAGACAATTTCCCTTTAATTTGAGGTAGACAATTTCAAACAGATGGTTGGAAACCTGGAGACAATTTGCTGCTCCAATGGGACAGCGATTCCAAATACATTACCACGCTAGTTTCATAATGGATAAAGCGTTCTGATATTAACATCAGAATCCTCTTCCTACACCACAAAATTAGACTTGTTGAAAAATTTAGAGTAAAGTTTAAAGACAGATATTTGACAAGAAAGTAACCAACTTAATTGAAAATTCTTCCAAGAAGAATGGACAGAATTGCTAAGATTGAATCAAACATTAATTGTTTGAAGCTCAGTAAATCAGACTATCATAAAAATGTCAGCAATTCAATTTAAAAACACAAATTTGTAACATATGTTTTTTTTTCTTATAGTTCTGTTTTTTTTTAAAGAAAATATCCATTTTAAAATCTGCCTTATGGAATATTCTAAATCTGTGAACCAAATATTAATTAGCTGTGAACAAAAAGTATTAATATGAACTTCAAATTTAGCTTTACTGGCTAAGTCTGTACACACAAACAAGAAATGTGACTTTGGTTCAACTTTCCTCTGATTATACAGATATTAAAAATTTAATTAAACTTAAATAAATGCATGTTAATTGATCTCTAAATTGTCCATAGAGAGTGTGTGTGCATGCTTGTTTGCTCTGTGTCGTTGCCCTGTGAAGAACTGGTGACATGTACAGGGTGTATACTATATGTTCTATGATTTGTGAGTTTTTACTTATTCTGCATATGGAAAAGATCAACTCAGTATATTAGTATAAGATAAGTGTATCCAAACTTCTGACCTAAACTGTGTTAATTTTATAGATGTGACTGCATTCAAAGAATCGTCTCTAAGGAAGTAAGGAGAGAGTTGTTTGCTCCTTTGCTCCGAAGTTTGTCGTCAAAACTAACCGTTACAACATAAACATACCAATTTCACTCCACTTCTACTAAATCTAAAATCACCTACATAGAGTGAATTATATCCTACTTGCCGATTTGAGCAGTGTTATTTGCTTGATACAGGTGTCTTTAGTCAAAGCATCTTGGAGTAAATAAATATTAACACAGTGTGTCACAAAAGTGACACATATTTAATTACTAGCCTCTGATCTTATTCTTTTGCAGCTGTGACATCGCTGCAGACAGCCTTCCACAGCTTCCCAAAGCGGCATCTTATGGCTGTCTAGAGTTACGCATCAGCCGCACTCAGACCACAACATGAAGACGTCAGGCCTGCTCATCGCTTGCTCCTTTCTGATCTCTGGATGCACGGGGATGCCACAGTTCCCTGGTGAGTTACTCTGCAACCGAACAATAAGAAGAAAAGCTGTTTGTAGTTGAATAGATATCGTTGCTGAAGGACATATTCTCAGGACTGGAGGCGTATGTTTTAACCTTTAACCTGTTCATGGAAGTTGATTTTTGTTCACGTGGACATCCTGTTCAGAACATTGGATATTTCACCCGCTGAAGCCAGTTTGCCGCCGCCACAGGACATAACAGGAATCCATTGTGATAAGGCTATTACAAACACTTGGCATCCTGTTGTCCAGAGGTTTGGGTATTTTAGGGTAACAGCTGTCACTGTGTTCTGTGACAGAAAAATCCAAACAGTCCAGTTTTAGAATTTGTTATTCCGTTTTGAGCTTCAGTGTTTTAACCATTGTTGTGTGGCTATGATTTGGTTACACTCAAGCTTCCTGAACTCTGGTTGGGATTTAAAAAAGAAAAGAGTTTATATATATCAGAATCAGGTGAATATTTCACAATTTTTAGCTGGGTTTCTCTAAGACTATCTTACCTGTTGATGCAAAGGCGGGTCATTATGTACTTAGAAATTGGTGAACTGTTACTGACTGAATTCAAGACTTTTTCAACTAAGAAAAGCAGTTCAGGTTTTCGAAAAGTGAATTTGACGTCTACCACCTGTAATAAGTTACAAATATGTCAGTTCTGCTGCATTACATTCATTCTTGAAATGTCATGTTTCATCTGAACAAATGTTTTGTATTTGGGTTTCTATCATATTAGATTAAGACTCTATTAATTATTTTTAACGGTTAAAGTAAATATGAGGCCATATGACATGTGGTCGTTCCAGACTAAATTTTCCACGTGGCCAGGGTGAGGCCAATGTCTTTTTTTGTGGGCACAAAACAAAAGAATGAAAGAAAATGGTTGTGCAAAATATTATCATTTAATAATGAGCCATAGAGACTGTGATGACAAAATAGGAATTTTGGCTTATTTACCGAGAAGAATGAACTGATAACAGAGGTTTCAGAGGAGGTGTTTTCTTCTCCTTTCCACTGCCACTTGGAAGAGTCTTGGTGGAAACTCTTTTTGAGTTTTGGTGGAAACTCAAAGGAGGGTTTGATTTAGGGACAGAAGTACCAGAAGTACCAGTAACCACAGATGGGAAAAACTGAGAGAAACTTCCTCAGTTTCTCTCAGTTTTTCCCATCATCTTGGAGTAAATAAATATTAACCCAGTGTGTAACCTAGCCTCTGGATGGGGGGTCCTGTGTAGGTGACTGAAGAAGATATTAAAGAGAATTGTATGTGTTAAGTTTAACTTCTTAAACTACAAGTTTAAGTACAGTTCTCTACTTCTCTCTCTAGCCTTATCTCTGAGAATAAATGATTTTGCTATTACTCTGATCTTCTAAATAAATATCTAAAAGACAAATGCACATTTCTCTGATTGACTCAGTGTTTCACTAATTATCAAAAGAATATTTTATTACAAGACAGAGTCACTGGCATCTCTGAAGCTTCACGTTGCAGACCCCTAAAGAGGTCTGGGAAAGCTAATAGTGCAACCTTATAATTTTTAACTCACTGTTAAAGTAAAATTGTAAAAGCAAAAAATGAAATTGTTCCAATTACTTATGGTTTCTGTGCCAGAGCAATACAAGATCCATAGCAGCAGCCAGTGCCACTTCTACAGGGACATTGGCCCCTGTTGTCCCTTATCTAGAACTGCCCATGCATGTGACTTTTACAGCCTGGACATTTACAGTTTTACAAAATCTTATCTGTTTTTTTTTTTGTGACTTAGTTTTGTATTAATCTAACCAGAGTTCTTCACTTAATTACCCAGAACAAGAGAAAAATCCCAAGTTCTGGAACGACTGGGCTCAGCAGACCTTGAAGGATTCATTGGAGCAGGACTTCAGTAATAAGAAAGCAAAGAACCTTATCCTCTTCCTCGGAGATGGTAAGCCTCTGATTGTACACTTTGTGTGTTGCAAAAAGTTACAATAGTTTCCTTGACAAAGTTGAATGAAATTTGAAATTGATGGATCTGAATTATAGAAAGATAACTACCAAGCTTCCAGGGTTTTAGTTTTTTTCTTTTTTTTTTCTGCGTCTCTAAAGACTCAAAAATGCTCAAATGTTTTTAATAATTGGTGGAAAGATTGAAGGATTCAGCTTTGAAGGATGAGGGAGATGTTTTCTACCGGGGTGAAGTGAATCAATAGCAGTGAGCAAAGCTGCTGAGCTCCCATCAAACCGCTGGGCTTCTGTTTATGTAGGGATGCTCTCTGGTTCTACAACAACATTCATCCTTCCCTGGGCCTCTGATATCTCTCACCCCTGCATTCACAGCATGGCATTCTTGCCTATTGCTGCATCCATAATCACATTAGCCCAGTCTGAGAATACCATAGGAAATGTGCAGACTTGTTTAACTGGAATATGATTGTTTGCTATACACAGGTCAACTGATAACAATCTGTTGTTTGTGTTGACACTTAATTGAAAATTTCTTTGTAGACCACAGGATTTGTAAAACACACACAACCTCAAATATACACAAAGAGCCCTCAGGTCAAACTAGAGTTTACAGCTACACTTTAGAAAATATGCATTTGCGTTCCATCATCGTCATTTTTTAGCATGCTGTAGACAGTTTATTTTAAGCATTGAGGTTTAAAAAAAATGAACAACAAAGACCTGAAAATGCCTACTTCTTCTAAGCTTAAACACATAGTATGTAAATTATATATTGTTTTTGCCAGTTTTCTTTGTTATAGATCTGAACAGACTCCTGCAGATTTCACAGTCCTCCCATTATTTTGCAATCACTAGAGGCAATCCGAATCAAAGAAAATATTTCACCTGACAGCAGTCAAGATGCTCTAAAATGTCAGTAAAAACAAGATGATGTGTTGCTAACTAAGAATGATGAAACAGGGAGTGAAAAGTATGAATGTTTAGGAATCTGTGATCAGACTCTCTCTGTTCCTTATGGAGAAATCAATCCTAAAAGTCAACCTACTTTTGGTGTTCAGGAATGGGCGTCCCCACGGTGACGGCAGCTCGGATACTGAAGGGTCAGTTGAGTGGACAAAACGGCGAAGAGACGCAGCTGGAGATGGACAAGTTCCCTTTTGTTTCTTTGGCCAAGGTCAGATTATCATGTAATATTGAACAGTCAGAGTCAAAACATACCAGGCATTATACCTTGAAAAGGTTTGGTATGTGTATATTTTGTTAATAAGGGCAAAATATCCTGCAACCTTTAATAAAAAGTGACAAATTCCAGAACTTTAAACTTAAGAAAACCCTTATCTTAAAGCTATTTAGAATGCTTTAAAAACTCAAAACAGAATGCTACATGCATTGTCAGTTTGGCTTCGTGTAATTCTTTTTTTTTTTATCAGTTTTTTCTAAACTTCCATTTACATAACAAAACATAAAATACATGAAAAAATGACAGGTTGTGTAAAGATATCACATGTAAATAATTCAAATTGCTGTACATTGCCATTTCAAAGCATTAAAGTTTAAAATAAATATGTTGTAATGTAGTGCAAATGATAGGAAGCACTATAACCATATCTGATAATAGCATTGACCATAACATCTGCTGTACATGAACATAATTAATCTTCTTCATCTACTGCATGTTTCATAATTGATGACTGTATGACATTTTAGGGTATAAACCACTTTGAACTGCCTTGTTGCTGAACTGATAAATTTATCTTGACTAGACTGTTAGTGCAATAACTTCAGCCTGCCAGAAGCTAACCTTGTGGTAACCCTGATGAACGATAATCTCGAAAACCATTCAATTTTTACATCCCCACAGGGAATTGACAATAAGCAAAATACTATGTCTTTGGATAAGCATTTTAGCTGACTAGAAAAACCCGTGTGAAAATTGAGATCTGTGATTTGTAAGGAAAATTACAACTTGCAAGATAGCTAACGTGAAACATGTTTAAAAATTGTGAAACATGCAGCTGCAGAGTTTGAGAACTCTTAGAATTAACTTTTTATGTATTTGGCAACACAAACATGATCTGATAAAATGTGCATTATTATGTGAAACATCTACCCTCTGTCTGAAGCTAATGTACTTTGTCTTTGCAGTGATACCACTACAGGGAAACTATGACACATTTCACTCTGCACATTTATATGAAACTACATTCTGTTATTTTATGTGATTAGAACAAAAAAAAAAATAATACAACTAAATTATTGACTTGTGTTTTTTTTTTTTTGCAGACATACAACACTAATGCTCAGGTTCCAGACAGTGCGGGCACAGCCACAGCTTACCTCTGCGGGGTTAAGGCTAATGAGGGCACTGTTGGTGTGAGTGCAGCAGCTGTTCGCTCCCAGTGTAACACCACAAAGGGCAACGAGGTCACCTCCATCCTCAAATGGGCGAAGGATGCAAGTGAGGAGGCTTTAAATTTATTATAACACTGGCATTATTTTGTTTTACCATTTTTATGTTGTTGAAATAAGAATGAATTGTTGCTGTATGTATTGTGAGCTGAATACTCACTTCAGTGACCTAATTGCTTCAGGCCCTGACTTCAAAGTCTTTGAAGAAAAGCTCTGTGGTCATTTTTCAGCTGATGCATTTTCATATTCAGCATTTGAACTTTTGAACTAGATGAGTGAAATCCATTTGTCTGAAAGAAATGTTTTATGGCCTGCTAATTTAGAAAAAGTTGTCAAACTTTGGTTTGTCATTCCTCACGTTTATTTACCGATATTAAAAGTATAAATCACATAGTGCTTTATTAAGACACTCAAAGATATTTTACAGAGTCACCTAGCACCCCCAGCGAAGCCCAGCCTGTTAACTAACAACCCTAGCTGAGTTCTAGCATGTTTGGCCAGCTGATTTTGCTACTGTATTTGCTGTACAATGGCTGCTGGAAATAACAGCAGCCATTGACTTTGTTGATAAAAAATGTGACGACCATGTTTTGTGATGCCCTTAGACTCGTCCTAAACTGTTCAAGGAAGAATGATAAATCACCTTTAAATTATGAATACATCTAATGTGGCTTTATATGTCCTCAACTGTATTAAAACCTTTTCACTTCATTCATCCTAGTCCGAATCACATCCTATTGCAAATTATTAGGTTCAAAGAGCTAAAGCTAAATTATAAAAAAAATATTGTAAGTCTCCAGTGTCACTGTTCTTCATTCAAAAATGAAACCCTGATTCAGGCAGTTCTTTCTCTCTGTGTCGATACTGCAGAAAAGTCAGTGGGAATCGTGACAACGACACGCGTGAACCACGCGACGCCGAGTGCCGCCTACGCCCACTGCGTGGACAGAGACTGGTACTCAGACAACGAGATGCCAGATGAAGCGCTGCGGTCCGGCTGCAAGGATATCGCCAGGCAGCTGTTTGAAAACATTCCCTACATTAATGTGAGTCAGAGTTCCAGCAACGACTTTTAATACTTATGAAATACCATTTTTAATTGCAGTGCAAACAGTTCTTTGTAATAAAGTCAAAATACTTTGCTATGTATTCTTATAAAAAGCATTATTATTTGGACTTTTAGCTTTCCTAGTTGTGTTTCAAATACAAAAAATAAAGCAATTTAAAGACTTTTAAATCTAGTTTTCCACTTTTTAGGTGATTATGGGTGGAGGAAGGAAATTTATGTACCCCAAAAACATGTCAGATGTCGAATATCCAGATATGATAAAGCATAGCGGCACACGGAAGGACAAAAGAAACCTGGTGGAGGAATGGAAAAACAAAATGAAGGATGAAGTAATTTTTTTTTTACTTGTTCTGCTCTTGTTTTCTCACTTCCCCAATTACAATTTCATATTTTCATGTATAAAATGACTGCAATGTTAAAAGTATTTTTAATTTCAATCTTTGAACAGAAGGCCCATTATGTATGGAACAAGGAGCAACTCAAATCCCTGAATCCAAAAGATGTGGATTACCTGCTGGGTACGTTTCACTTTCATTATGAGACAGTCATTGAAGTGCAAATGACGAGATATTACTCTTTGCATGCGCTGTATTCCTATTATGTGTGTAATAACTTGCTTCTCTTTGTCTCCTGTGGCCATTTCTTCAGGTCTTTTTGAACCTTCAGATATGCCTTATGACTTGGACAGGAACAGCAATACTGATCCTTCACTGACAGAAATGGTGGAGGTGGCCATCAAGATCCTACAGAATAACCCCAATGGATTTTACCTTCTTGTAGAGGGTATGCACTTGACTCTGTTTGGTCTGTCAGTTAGTTGATGAGGGATTTTTTTGGAGGATCACCTAATCTTTCTCTCTATGAAATCTCAGCACTTTTTCCCTTGTAGGAAGTATTTGTTTTTTTAGATGATACGATACTGGTCTTAGAAAAATAAATAAACCTGATAAAGAGATAGCCAAGCTTTAAAAACGGTCGCTGAAGATGTATTGCGGTCCAGAAGGCAAACAAAACTACCAAATTGCTTCCTGCAATTAGGAAAGGAAGGAAGAGTACAATTAGCAATACGTTAGAATGAGAGAGTGGTAAGGGGGTGCTTTACAGTAAGCATTTTTCAGAGCTTTTTTTGTCTTTTAAAAAAAAGGTTCAATTAAAAATGTCTGTTACATACAAGCATTTACTCTAGAAGTCTGGTTTTGTTTTCAGTTTGCTCTGAGCTAGTCCCACCACTAGCTCATACAAGCTAGTGGTGGGACTCGGTTAACATCTTAATAGAATTAATTGCAATTTGTTACATTTTTAAAAAACATACATTGCTAAAACAAGCAACATTCTCAATTCAAAATCCCTTTGATTGATTAAAATAACCATTCAAAAGGAATGGGGAATTAAGAATGAGCTCTCAGAGTACTACAATCCAATGTAACATTTGATTTAATGACCTGCAACCTGCTTTCCTAGTAAAATGTAAATCTATTTGACAGGAGGACGCATTGACCACGGACACCATGAGGGCAAGGCCAAGCAGGCCTTGCATGAAGCTGTAGAAATGGACAGAGCCATCGGGCTTGCAGGTCGCCTGACCAGCATTCATGATACCCTGAGTGTCGTTACTGCAGACCATTCTCACGTTTTCAGCTTTGGAGGCTACACACACAGAGGAAACACAATATTTGGTATGTAATGGAAAACTGAATACATAAAGTGTAGCTGTGAGGTTGTATTTTCTTTGTAATGGTGGTCAAGCTTTGCCTTACCCGTAATGCTGTCTCTCCACAGGTCTGGCCCCCAAGACAAGTGATGTCGACCACAAGTCTTATACCTCCATTTTGTATGGAAATGGACCTGGTTACAAGCTTGTCAAAGGTGAAAGAGAGAATGCTTCTGTTACTAAATATGGTAAGTAGAATTTTTGGTTTCGCTCAAGTTTGGGATGTATTTACATCAGCTACATTACAAATCAAACAAACAATGATAAAGCTTTATATCCCAGCTTTACACTGAAGAGACAGTTAAATTTGTTGAGCTTGAAGTTGGTTGAGGTAGCCATCACTGATAATTGGAGAAAATGTAGCATAATAGGGATGTTTCAAAAACTGGACAATTCTTCAAAACTGAGAAAAAGTAGAAACTGAAGGAGATGCAGGAATTCTGACAACTACTTTTTTCTCCACTAAGGAGTAGCACTGAAAGACAGAAGCATCCAAAGAACATGGGGCTAAAGAACAAAATCTTTTTAGAACAAAATTGTTGTAAAAACATTTTGTGAGAACGTGCTATGACACAGTGAAACCAAACCTGAACCTTTGGGCCGTCGTGCCAAATGGCACGTTTGGCCCAAAACCAAAAGAACACAGGACACCAAAAGAACACCATACAATGAGTTAAATGTGGTGGCAGCATCAGGCTCTGGAGTTAATATTATTCAGATGGATGTCTTTGTAACAGATTAACTGAAATCTATGTTATTTGCGAGGAGAAATTTTAATTATAGATGATGACTACACTGTTAATATCACAAAAAGTTGATGTTTTATCAGCACTTTCTGCACTTTTGATTGCCACTGTATTATTACACATAATACAGTACTTCACCTTCTCATTGTGTGTACTGTCTTTCCCACTTTGCTCTACGAAGAAGAGGACCGGCAGCAAGGTTCAACACATTTCTTCCATTAGCACACTGAAGACAGTTCTCTTTGTCCACAGGTTAAATAATGTAGAAAGTGTGAAACTGAAATAAAATACAACAAAAATACAATTACAACATGTACCATTTTTGTTACAGTAAAATATAGTGAAAGAACTAAACATAAGTAGATAATAAACAGTATACATACAGACGGTACCACGAAAGACGGAGGCAGATGCACGTGGATTACAGTCAGTCATCAAGCACCATGTAAACATCCATCGATTTCTACTTCCCCTAACAGCACATTGTGTGTCTGTCTTGCAGAAGAAAAGAACTACCAGGCCCAGGCAGCTGTGCCTCTGAGCGCGGAGACTCATGGAGGAGAAGACGTGGCTGTCTTTGCCAAGGGTCCCATGGCTCACCTGCTGCATGGGGTCCAAGAGCAGAACTACATCCCCCATGTGATGGCGTATGCGGCTTGTATCGGCCAGAACAAGAATCACTGCATGTTGAAGGACGGCGCAGTGGGCTTGACGCCAATGTTCTCCAGCATTGCAACCGTTCTCACAGTCACTCGGCTCCTGTGCTGACCCTCCTCAGACACTTTTTCCTGTTAATATCGTTATTAATCTGTTTCACATTTAAGATTTTAGCCTTTGTGCTTTTCATTTTACAATGTCTTATGTAATATGTTTTTAATGCGAAATCAGCAAAATCACAAACTATCGTCCAGCGATTTAAAAAAAAGCGTCTGCCCCCAGTATTTTGTGATTTTTCAAATAATTTTTTTTTTAACCATTACAGTGTACAGCAACACTGGTACAGTGTCTTCAGTTCAGTGAAGAAGGCATGTAGATGAGAAAGATTGCTGAACCACATAGTCTTAGGAAGCAGTGAGAGGGATTTGAGGGATTTGTCAGCCCACTTTCAGGAAAAGAAAACAAGTCAGAAGGGAAAATGCCACCCTATTTATCACCTTCCTGCCACACAAGAAAAAATACATACATTCTATTGAAAATCTTAAAGGGGATGTACAATGCAAAATTCATATTTTGCACATTTTTGTACTTCTTTTTGGGTCTCTATGGAAGAGAGTTGTTAGGTAGCAGGTAACTCTGTTTTTTTGGTCCTGGTTCATTTGCCCTTTGTGCAAGCTTTTACCTGTTTTGCGTCTGTTACCATTTCATCTCTTCTTATTATCAGATCTTACCCATGTACTTAAACAAATTTTTGTTCGTTTGGGGCGGGTTGGAGCAGCGTCTGCCGTGAAATGGATGCTGTACCGATCCGTCATGGTGAAGAGAGACCTGAGTCAATGTCTCTCGGCTGGCCTGGGAACGCCTTGGGGTTCCCCCGGAGGAGCTGGAAGAAGTGGCTGGGGAGAGGGAAGTCTGGGCCTCCCTTTTGAAGCTGCTGCCCACGTGACCCGATCCCGGACAAGCGGAAGAAAATGGAAAAAATTCATGGAAATGGAATACTTAAGTATTTTAATGAATTATGACAATGCACATTTAAAATTGCTTACATTTTATGTATAATTTAATTTATACATGAAATGCTTCCAAACACAGCACAAGAAAACCATTTTCTGGCAATAAGTTAATGTTTTTTGGTGTTTGTAAAATGAACCGTTTCAAAAGTCTCCAGAATGTAAAGTCACAAATCACCTGGCTCTGCTCCTCACCTAGAAACCCCAGCAAAGCCCAGCCCATCACCTTGCAACCCTACCAAACACGTTTTGAACAGCCATACCTGTCCTATCCTGCTCAAGGAAGCTTAATATATCACCTTCAAAAAAGCTTTTATTTCTATTAATTCTAATTATTTCACACTTAGCAGTTACTTAAAACTCGACAAGTTTAATTCAAAATATTCAGACCAATAAAAAAAAAACATTTTTATTACAGAAATGTGGGTGTGATAAAAAGTATGTTTATTATCTGCTTCAATGTTTGTTTGTTTTTTTTTAAGTTACTTTTAATCTTAAATGAGTCTCATGGGCTTCATTTTCAAATTTACTAAATTTGACAGTATGAATTATTCTGGTCAACCAGTTATGCAAAAAAAAAAATCCTAAAGCAATGTTGGGAAGAGCTCACAATAACATCAGAAACAGCACTGCAGCTTCAGTTTTGGACTCAGTAAGGGGTATAGAGCTAGTTCAGTCATGTATAAAGATGTCAGGTTTGCATTAGAAACCTTCAGGGCTGAATGTCTGAACTTGTTTTATATTGTATGACAGAATGGATAGAAACTACCTCGCATTCTTCCAAGTAAGTCCCACAGGTTATCTTACTCACTGAAACGTTTTGCTTTTAGGAGACAAGTTTTTCGTGTCTGAACATGATAGAATCATTTTGTTAAACTGACTACAAGGATATATATTTTTTTCAAACTGGACACTTTCCATTCTCATGAACACAAGATCGCTCACTCATTATTTTCTTCAATCAGAACCTGTACCGTGTAACCAATAAATTTTGATTTTCGATAAAGTATTTGGCTTTGATCTATTTGTGAGTATGTAAATGTTTGTTTTTTTGGCATATTTTTAGAACTTCAACCATAAAATCAATATGCCTGACACAACATCTTAGCTTAAAAACATTTTTAAACTTCAGATAAAACATGAGAAGTTTCTTCGTATGGTTGGTGACTCATCTCACTTCATTAGCACATGAAATTTGTCATTTCCCACTAGCTCTCCTTGTCTTCTTCATTCCTGTGTTTAAGGAAGAATATCAAAGGACCTAAGTTGGCAGGAGCACAGAAAATTAGGTGGGTATGAAATTATCATGTCACAAAACATTTTTGATGGCAGATCATGATTTACTTCTGTTAGAAACATTTGTTTGTTAAAACGAACAACAAAGACAGAAATCTTTGCTTGCATGTCAGCAAGGAGCAAATGCAACGAGTTAGTCAGGTCAGAGCATTCTCTAACAAAGGAAATGATCTTGTTTATATATACTTCCTACGTACTTTGCAAAGACATAAGGTGGTGCTTTTGCAAACCCACAAAATCACCTAGAAACGATGGTTCCTCGTCTCACAAACAGGAAATTAACTTAGAAACTTGGTCTTTCTACATACTACAAATGCTCCTTTGTGTAAGCTTCATTTCAACCATCAATATGTCATGTTATTCTGAACCCAGACCGTGTCTGGAAACATAAAGGCCAACAAATAAGTAAATGATAAATCAATGCAATCAATAACTACAGCGGACTCTTGGATACCATAAAAATAATAATATTGAACAAACATTTTTCCAAGAACTTTGATTTAATTCAAATGATCTCCTAAGAACATGATATATGGCCTATGAATAAAGAACACCCTCCTGCATTCAGGTAGCAGAAACAAGCTTCTTCTGTGGGGTTTGTTCACCAGCCCCATGGAGGTCAGTTTGAAACTGCTGCTTCTCTGTAGCCACTAAGGTCATTAAGACGCTCCAGGGGAGGACGTCTCTAGATGTAGAGACGTTCCCTAGATCAGATACATTATGTAATTTCTGACCTGTGAATGCCTAAGGATCTCCCTTAAAGAGCCGATGAGGATCAGTGAGAAAACGAATGTTAGGATTTTCTTGCTGAATGTGTTGCTTTAAATGACTGGAGGACCATGCAAATAAATGGATGGATGTCTAGAATCCTATGTTTGTTAAAGAAAGTAAATCTATGCAGATTTATGAAGGTTTTTCTTATCAAAAATAAATATATAACATGAAACTTTCTACAGGGCATTCCGAATAACAACACAAGCCGATAGCCAATGTATTTCTATGAACTGTATCCAAATATAAAAGGCAACATGCAACAAAATAGAAGTTGGACATTCTAATAACTATTTGTGTGGTTAGTATATAGAGTTGCAATCTCAAACAAGCAAACAAAAAACATTCATCTCTAAACAGACTTTCCTTTGGATGCAGCTAAAAGTAAAATTGATACCTCTTGGTCACATCTAATTCGCTACTGGACCTCAAAATATAACAGTTTTGCTCCTAAGGATCGATTTCCATTTAAAAATATGGAACTTAATTTATGCAAAAACACTGAATCTAAGCAGCATTAAAAAATGCAGCTGCGGAATTATGTTTATGGTTACTGAATCCTGGTTTATTTTAATATCTTAACTGTATGCCCTTTAAACACTTTTGAGGTGCCTCAGAGGCTGCTTCAAACACAGTAATAATCAGGAAGTTTCTTTTGTTCCTCTGGGTTACCACAAATGGGTTCACTGCAATCCTGTCTTATTTCATCTCTTTTGTTTTCAGAGATCAACGGTGGATGTTAGGCTATATCCGAGTGTGTCACAGTGTGTGAACTTTGTCTTATTCACACATTTTGCATTTGAGTCTCAGTGCTTCATCCAGAATAATTAAACAATCTAGTTCCTAAAATGATGAAATGTATGATGAAACCTGGGAAATTGGTATTTTGCGGTTATTGTTCTTTGAACTTTCCATCCTTGTGAAAAGTTCAAAGGTGAAGGAGAAGAATAGTTACTTTTCCTTGCAGATAAGGTGTATGGATACTGTGAAGAGGAAACAGAATGTGCTCTTATTAGATACGTTAAGAGGGAATTACAGAATGTCAAAGTAATAAGAGCGAATCTGAACTCAGAAGCAGAACAGATGCAAGAAACATAAATATATTTTTCTATATTTAGAAACATAAATACACAAAAATAAAGGATCTATTTGTTATTCGCTTCAAATATGCAGTAGTATTGTATCTGTTAGAAAAGCTGGGGGAATTCACAATGAAGCCAGTTTTTACAAACGTGCTGTAAAACCATAAATAGGTCAAAGCTAAAAAACTTTGTGTTCACATCTGCCGAAAGTTCAGAAATGTAACAAATAGGTCAGCCATAAATTTTGCAGAAATAAATCTAAAACTTCAAGGACCCAAAGCTGACTGAACATGAGCACAGAGCTCATAATTTAAAGATCAGCTTCACATGGTTCGAATATCACAAACTTTACTTTTACCTCATTATTTATGCAGGAGAAAATAATATTTTGGATTTCTGCCTTTCTGAATGCTCAACATAATCTAGATATAAAAATTTCTTGCCTACACAGGGAGTTTAAAATGACACTGCATGTCGTGGTAAAATTGAAATGATATATATCTTGGATCATCTCAATAAGTTTCCAGAGTGCCATCCAAGATTAAAATGCCTTCAAGCAACAGAAATGAAATTGCTCTTTGAGACATCACCTCAATTACTGCTCAGGGTTCAGCTGCTCAGGGATGAGATTCAGTCATTTGATTCTTCATCCATTTCAGACCATTTGATTCAGTCACTTTTGCTTCTAGCTAGGGTGTTTTGAATCAGCTAAGCTTTTTGGATCTTTATCAAAGAACCTCATATGATTTTTTTCCCCCAAAGAAATCAACCTTAGAAAGTACGAGACTGCATAAAATAAGCAAGGAAGCAGCAATGACTTACCAGTGTGTGAAACTGGAAAGAACTCAACCTTGTTTTTAGCTCTATTGTTTTTGAGGCAGTTTTTCAAGTGCTCAGATTTTTTTTTTTTTTTAAATGAACAATTTCTAATTTCTCCATAAATTGTTATGATGCCATATTCTAATAAAAAATGGTCCTTGTAGACAAATGACATGTCTTTTACAATACATTTTAAACACCTTCTCTTTGTCTGAGTAAAACCTATAGAGACCAAGGAGGCATTGAAAGGCTCAAAGCCAATGTTACATCTCTGAGATCTCAAATGATAAAGTCATAGAGAGGAGTTGTTGAGTAGGTGTGAAGCAGAAAGGGAGTGCAAACAGCTACAGATTGTAACCAAATGAAGTCATTGGGATATTTTGCTTCTTTGATGCCAACTTCAATATTACCAATGTAAAATGAAAGTAGCAAATGAAGCTGAAATAGACCAACTGCTGTGTCTAATCTTTCAAGACCTTCTTGCTGTGTTAGTAGAAGTTGCAACGACCAAGCACTTCCTGTTGTTTTCTTTGTCTCTTCCATCAGTTGATCACATGACTTATGTGATGCAAAAAAGTGTTTCTGTTGCAGCTTTGCGAAATACACTAATTTCGATACTGTCAAAAAAAAAAAAAAAAAAACTCATTCCAGCGTAAAAACCTTTTATTGAAAAAAGTGAGTTCTTTCAAAATTGACTTGTTTCCATTAAGTGAAATTATTTTCATAATTGCAATGTGCTCAATTTTATGGTCAGTGGAAATGCGGCTACTGTCTTTTAAAAAGGCCACAGAGGAGGAGCATCAGTGGAGCTACTGCTAACATGTTTAGGAACCAGACTTTTTTATTTTTCTTTTTTCACCAACGGTCTGTGCTGTGATACCATGAATAAAATGGCAAACAAGTTTCTCAAAAAAAAGAGAGTAACCTTTAAACATATTCATACTGGAAGAAAAATGTGCAAGCTTAAACACAGTCTTGGCAAAAAGGTCAAGAACACCCTGTTCTGGTTTCTGAGTGCTCCATACGAAAATATGACAAGAAAGAAAAGTTGTGGAAATGGAAGTCTTATAAAGTTCAACTTCAAGTCTGAACCTCAACAAGCCCACAGAGGCCTATGGAGTCTAAAATGTAACTCCTGGATGTTTCCATTTGTTTTCCAGGTTCTTTGAGAGTTAAGAAATTGAGAAATCATCCAAGTGTTACATGTTTTTAGACATATTGATTTTCATAACAGCACAACTAGATAAACACTAAACAAGTACAGTCTCTTGGGAAGGGCAAATGTTGCAATGAAATATTAGGAGAGACAGGCAAAAGAATCCCCACAAAGTCTATATTTTACAACATGTGAAAAAGTAGTTCAGGATTTTTCCACAACAATGTCAGAGAAGCCCATAATCAAAAA